CAGCGACGGGCTGTGTGGGCGCCTCCACACCTCTCCCCTGCACGGTCACCAGTGCGAAGAACGTAGGGGCAGGGACCAAGCGCACCACCGCGCTGACGCTGCAAGTACCACTCACGGAGCTGCTGAGGGCCGGGGACGGTGCGAGAGCGCTGCTGCTGCTGCGGTTGCTGCTGCGGCTGCTGCTGCTGCTGCTGCTGGCGCTGACCACCCCCAGAGCTGCTCCGCTGGGACGAGCCACTCCGACCCCCTCCTCCACCGCCACCCCCGCCTCCACCGCCACCCCCGTCGCCACCGCCACCTCCCCCACCAGGACCGTCGCTCCCACCGCTCCCACCGCCTCCTCCGCTACCACCTCCGCCGCCACCTCCGCCTCCACCGCCGCCACTACTACCTCCACTCCCGCCACCACCCCCCCCGCCACCCCCACTCCCCCCTCCACCCCCACCGCCTCCTCCACCGCCCCCTCTGGCTCCACCCGCTCCCTTGCCCCCCTTGCCCTTGCCAGCGCGGCGTCTGCCACTGGGGGCAGACGCCGCGCCGACCGACTCAAAACCAACGAGGTCGGCCGCAGCGGCAGAGGCGACAGAGGGCAGCAGGGGGGAGGGACCACACCCCTCAAAGATGGGGGTGCGAGGGTCACCCCGAGAGGCCCCTACAGCGACAATACTCTTCTCAGCCGCTAGCAGGGACTCCTCAAGGAGGTCGACAGTGAGAGTGGTGGGACAGACAGAGAGAAACTGGTCCCTAACGACACGAAGGGACTCAGGGAGACGGGTGACGAGAAAGTAGAGAGTGATGTACATGGGAGGAGGGTTCGCAGCGCGGAACTCAGCAGGAAGGGCAGCGCGGTAGCGGGTGTCACTAGCGCGGAGGTGGGTAACGAGGTCAGCGACAGTGGGAAAGGAAGCGAGGTCAGGGAAGAGAAACGGTAGCATGAGGCGGCTAAGGGTAGCGGAGGAAGGGGAGGAGTAGCGCGCAACTACAGCGTCGTACAAGGCCTGAGCGGTCTTGCACTGACTAAAGTGGGCACGCTCAGAGGAAGGGAGGTGGCGACGCACAGCAAGACGTGCAGCAGCATCGCGGGTCGCCCACTTGGAGCGAACGGCAGAGTCAGCATCAGCAGGCGGGGCAGGGACAGCGCCAGAGACAAAGTCAAAGAGAGAGACCTCATCTACCGCATCACACAGTAAGTACAGCTGCAGGTCCTCGATCCAGACGGCAAAGTCAATGGCCCTCCCCTCAGCGTCAAAAGTGAGAACATTGGGGGTGGCCATGGCAGCAGCTGAAAGTCTCACCGGGATGGGAGAGTCGGGAAAATCAGCAGCAGGCGGCTCGGGCTGCTCGGGCGGCTCGGGCGGCTCGGGCGGCTCGGGCAACTCGGGCGGCTCGGGCGGCTCAGGTACCGGGCGGCTCGGCTGCTGCTGGGCGGCTCGGCTGCTGCTGGGCGGTTCGGCTGCTGCTGGGCGGCTCGGCTGCTGCTGGGCGGCTCGGCTGCTGCTGGGCGGCTCGGCTGCTGCTGGGCGGCTCGGCTGCTGTTGGGCGGCTCGGCTGCTGCTGGGCGGCTCGGCTGCAGTGTAGTGGCGGGGCCGGGACAAGGGACGGCGGGGCCGTCAGGGTGCAGCGGTGGAGCCGAGACAGGGGACGGCGGGGCCGTCAGGGTGCAGTGGCGGAGCCGGGACAGGCGCAGTGGCGGGGCCGCAGGGTGCAGCGGCGGGCCGTCAGGATGCAGCGGAGGTCCGCTGGAAGCACCCGCGGCTGAGCAGGCTGCGGGGCCGCGTCGTAGGAGGCGGCAGGGCCGCGGCTGAGCAGGCGGCAGAGGCCGCGTCGTAGAGGGCGGCGGGGCCGCGGCTGAGCAGGCGGCGGAGGCCGCGTCGTAGCGGGCGGCGGGGTCGCGGCTGAGCAGGCGGCGGAGGCCGCGGCGTCTGCAGGCGGCGGAGGCCGCGTCGTAGAGGGCGGCGGGGCCGGGGCTGAGCAGGCGGCGGGGCCGCGTCTTAGCAGGCGGCGGGGCCGCGTCTTAGCAGGCGGCGGGGCCGCGTCTTAGCAGGCGGCGGGGCCGCGTCCGAGTAGGCGGCAGGGCCGCGACTGGGTGGCGGGGCCGCGTCTTAGTGGCGGGGCCGCGACTTAGTGGCGGGGCCGCTACGTAAGGGCGGGGCCGCGACGTAAGGGCGGGGCCGCGACTGGACGGCGGGGCCGCGAACGAAGGGCGGCGGGGCCGCAGGGGAAGGGCGACTCGGGGGGGGTCGCTAAAAAAAAAGGATCGCGCGCCTCGGGGCGCGCTTCGGTGGGCCCTAGGCGAAGTTCCCACAGGGAACCCGCTCTATACCATGTGAAAGGAATGAACAGGAAATGAATTGACTAAGTCAGAGGTGGGTACAAATACAACCCTAGCAAACTGTACCCCATATGTGCTACCCCACTATAGCCTACAAACATGCATCACCTATAATAATCTGACAGTAACATGATTCAACAGGATTAGTCGATGAGGGTCGGTTGGGTTGGGCGAGCTGCAATTCAACAGTAAAGGATTTAGAGTTCTACTCGCTTCCTAGGATTCCCAACCTTTCGGACTCCTTCCGTCATTGGGCTCCCTGACTCTTCTCCTAAACTCACCTTTGCGATGCACGAACCGGTTGCACGGCTACAACGTCCAACATAGGATGCACACTAGTCCCCCAAGAACGATGCTCCCAATTGTTTTAGAGCCCTAGTTTCTATCGTCCCAGAACAAACATTCTTGTGCGCCATCGCTACGATAGCATAGAAATTTTGTGATGCCGATTGTCAGTATTTTTTGTGGCATTTCGAGCTCGATGTCTCCAACGTAGCGATTACTTTTTTCCGCCTCATGCATATAGCCCATTTGCTTGTACATCATCAAAATTCCGGTCATGTAGTCCAAGACCGATCCAAGCTATCACCAAGTATACCGATTTTTATATGCCGAGATAGATGCCATGGGTGGCTCGGATCTTGGCGTATACCTGGGCCCCGCCATCCCATGTCTGACACTTGGTCACTCCGCAATACGGAATTCAGGAAGGTCCCTACCTTAGCTACAGTGCTCGTTTGGCCCAATCCATCATTGTTGAATTTTCGATTAAACTGCCAGGCCGCTCCGTTGAATGGGATGGTACATGGTGGCGTTCTGGCTTTAGCAGCATGGGTGGTGAAGGCAACATCAGAGGTTCCAACGTGGTATTGACACGACGGCAATCCCCACAAGGCAACCTAGTCACAATCGTTCCCTCGTTGCGCATTGTACCATATATGTCGTGTGCCTCGTGCGCAACGCCACCACTAGCAATGGTCAAGCGTTGTCCCGCCCTCTTACGTCGGAATGACATTGTCGTTGTTGGTGTTGCCATCGGTTTAAAGGTGTGGCGTATTGAATCTTCGCTGCGTCTGACTTAGCGAAATTATAAACAAAAGAAAATACGTTAGTCATGAAAATCCACGATCAAAATGTCGGACCACCCTCTTGAATGGGGTCGAAGCTGGGGTTCACTGCTGCTTGAGTGGCATGGACGTTGAGATGGCAACATTTAGGTTTCATCGTCGTTTTGGCACGATTACAGTCCCCACGTGGCAGCTCAGCCGCAATCGTTCTCTGTTGTACCGTATACACCCTGTTTCTCACTATACTGAACTGTGCCGAACTGGTGGAAGACCTTGTTATCTTCGATTTGTCTGATTGAACCATACGGAGACTTAATCTAACCACCGTTAACCGTGCTTTTTCCATCTTGACTTCACTATAACCGAGTTTACAATGGCGAGAAAGAGGGTGTACGTCTTATGCTTTACGCGCAACGCCATCACTCTCATGTCGGTATGACATTGTCGTTGGTGCAAGGGCACATATGCAATGGGTGGCAATTTCCCTGCTGTGGGTATGGCAATCTCAAGAGATTTGTCATGCACGGTTCATTCACGTGCTCCTGCGTGAGTTCCGTGAGATCTGTAATATGGCACTTTGAAGTACGGTAACAGCGTGTCAAGAACCCCAAAAGTGGTTCATCCTTCCTAAGGTTGGTTGGATGTTACCCGGTTTCCCTCGAAGGCAACTTCTCTAACACACAAACCTGGTCGTGAGCTTCGCCAACCCCCAACACTACAGCAGCGACAAGAGCTCGGTTTGGAAGGATCGCACGGTACTGTCGCCCAACACCACGTATTTCTTTCCAAGGGAGAGAGGCAAGAGAAATTTGTCCCAAAAACGTTAGTGATTATTCCCGAGTTTCTATGACATGTCTTAGACACGCGCAGCCTGCCGACTATCCCGCATACCGACTTCCTGGCGCGTGCAAATCTCAAATTATACAAGATAGGGAAGGGAAGAAGTGGCATTAACTGACATTGCGGGAAATATAGCCGTAGGGAAAGACGTTAGTCGACCCGAGCTAACAATTTGACTGGCATATCAATGCGACGTCGCGTGAATGGTCACGAATTGCAATGCTGGGTAATGCGGCGGACCCAGTTTGGTCTCGATTAGCCCAGCAGGGCAACGCGACTGCGCCCTTAGGTCACTCATTGCCCTGCAGATGAACTCGACGGCGCCCTTAGGTAACAAATTTCCGTGCACATGAACGCGTCGAGGCCCTTAGGTCACGCATTAGCCATGCAGATGAACGCGACCGCGCCCTTGAGACACGCATTGCCCTGCAATGCGTGTCGGCGGCGCTCTTAGGTCGCGAGTTGCCTTGCAGTTCTTGTCGCCGGCGCCCGAAGGGCACGAATCTCTCTGCAGGACAACGCGAAGGCGCCCTGCAGGTCACGAATTGCCCTGCAGGGCAACGCGACTGCTCCCCTAGGTCACGACTTTCACTGCAGGGCAACGCGACGGCTCCTTTTGGTCCCGATTTGCCCAACATCGTAACGCGACGTGGTCCTCCCGTCACAATTTGCCATCGCGTTGGCAATGCGAAGGGGTAGGCAGGCGGAGGTGCATCCATATTGAGGCAGCGCGTGCGGGGGGGAAAAGCACCTGCCGCACCCTAGCCTGGCAGTCGGCGCTGCCTTGTCTGCTCCCCTTCCCCACCCCCAAGTCCCTCTCCTCCCTCCATTTGCTCCCCACCAGGTGCGCGATTGCAGAAACAGGGGCCTGGCAGTCGGTGCTGCCTCGTCTGCTCCCCTTCCCCACCCCCACGTCCCTCTCCTCCCTCCACTTGCTCCCCACCAGGTGGGGGATGGATGCGTGAGGGGAAGGGGATGGATGCGTGAGGAGAAGGAGATGCATGCGTGAGCAGAAGGGGATGCATGCGTGGTCTGAACTGCATCCGCCCATGCTCGCGGAAGGGGATGCACGCGTGAGCGGTGGGGGGTGGAGGCGTGAGGGGGAGGGCATGGTCGCGTGATAGGCAGTAACTGGAAGGGACGGCAAGAGAAAGGATGGGACGGGTTGAGAGGAGAAGGGAAGGGAAAGGAGGGGTAGGACAGGGAAGGGAATGCGTGTGTAGAGAGAGGAACAAAGGGGTTGCTGGGACGACGGGAGTGAGTCGGACGTTAGCGATGTGAGGAAATTGAGGTGTGAGGGGAGGGTGGTGCAGTGGCATGAATGAGTTCCTATGCATCAGCGTGAGAGTAACTAAAACGCGGCCTGAGCTTCTTGTGAATCGCGGCGAATGGGACGGGGTGTGCTTGACCGTGAGGAAGGGGGCATCGAGGTGTGAGGACTACCGATTAGCGGCGTGAAGAGTTCCGAATCGTGCCCTCTCATTCACTCCCGCCACTCACTCACCGCTACCTCTCAATCGCCTCTTCATCCCACTCACCTCCACCATTCACCTACCGCTGCCTCCCACTCCCCTCCGTCCCCTCATAACCCCGCCCATCCTACTCAGCAAGCTGTTCTCACTCCCCCTTTTTGCTCGTACTAAATCACTCCTCCCCTGCCATCTGAACTCCCACTCCCCCATTGCACCCTTCCTCTCTCCCCACATAGCAACTTGTGTTTGCAGCATGGGTAAACTGAAGTTGGGGTCTTATTTGCTCGTAGGTGGTTCCATTATAATGCGGAGATGCATCGGCGGGGGTGCTAGCTTGTGCACAGGGAGATGAATCGGCAGGGGTGGTAGCTTGTGAACAGGGACATGAATCGGCAGGGGTGGTAGCTTGTGCACAGGGAGATGCATCGGCAGGGGGGTTAGCTCGGGCACGGGGAGATGCCACCCATTCACATCCGCCTCTCACTCACTGCCACTCACTCACATCTGCCTCGCACTCATTACTGCCACTCACTCACATCCGCCTTGCACTCCCCTACGCTGCCCACTCCCTTCCGCCACTCACTTACTATCTGCCGCTTCTTTGACTTTGCAGTTCCCACCCTCTTATTTTTCATCGTATTTTTTCACTCCCCCCTGTGGCAGCTTGTGTTTGCAGCATTTCGAAATGGTAAGTTGCTGATTGTACCGTATTGCACACAGATGGCTTGTGATATTTTCAGTTAGGGGCACATGTGTGAGGTACTTCTGCCCGTTGCAATATTGTGTGAATATAATTTGCTGATTCAACGTAACAGTTTGTATCAACCAAACACAAATTAGGCCACCATCACCATGTGTTGAGACTAAGCCTTGCTAATAATTATTATATTATTATAAAAATAAAGAACACCAACAATGACAAAAGGTTGTAATTGTTGGGAATAATAAGTCTTAAGCGCCTCTGTCGTGTCGAAACCCAGGACACTAGCGAAGCATCGCGAGTCAACCCTCGGAGGTTAGGGTAACCGCCTGGAGGTTACGAGAAGGTCAAAGGTCAGCGACCTTTGACTTGACAAATACAGCGCGACAGCAAGGACACACAACTGACTCGACATTGAGCAGTTGCCCGAGTCGCACTGTATCGAATCGCAACAGTAAAACGGTTTTAACTTATCTAGTCGTATTCCTTGTACTCTTATATAAACCTCTGTATTTGCTTGTTTAACTAACTTACTTTGCCCTCACATACTAGCGCAATGTGGTTCAAGTATTTTTCATTCAAACGCTTCCGCTACTACAATTCTACTCAGACTTAAAACTCTACAAAGATCCTAGGGCACTTCAGCCCAACATGGTATGAGAGCAGTTAGAGTTTTAAAGTTGTTTTCCTTTTAACACTCAATACAAGAAGACATGTCTGCAAGGAACGAGAGGAGCTCCTCCAACGGCTCTCCAGGCACTACTCCTACTCCACCTCCTGTCTCTGGTCTACAGACAGAGGAAGGGACTACCACGAGACCAGCAGCTGGGTCTACGGAAACGCCCGCAGGCTTCGATCCAAGCATGATGGAAAAGTTCTTCTCCTTCATGTCCTTCTACGAGCAGCACCAGCAAGGAGCACCTGCGCAATCAAACAACAGCAACAACAACAACAACGTGACGCCTATGAGTCTCGATGGCTCATCCTACGCACGCGGGATTCAACAACAACAACAACAGCCTACCTTTGCGCCATACGAGCCCCAGCGTGGCTCCGTCAGCTTCATGCCGCAACCGCAACCTGCACCAGGACAAGAAAGGGCATTAGATGCGTTACAAGTTCAATCGCAATTCGCGCATGTCTTAAAACTACAAACGACAAAGCCTTTCGATGGCAAAGATTTCTTCACCTGGTCGTTCGAGTTCGAACTGATGATGGAAGGAGCACAGATTCTCGGCTTCTTCGACGGGTCCCTGCCATATCCAACAAACGGGACGCAATATGAGAAGCAGCAATATACTTATCAATCGATGATGGCGTACACGATACTGCTGAGGAACATCACCCCGACCCAGCAGCAGAACATCAGGACTTACCGAGGCTACGGCAACTCCGCGGAGCTCGCGTACAACCACCTGAAGAACCTGTATCAAGCAATAGACAGCGTAAATCAAAGCAGGTTAATGGCGCAGCTGACAACGATTGAAATGAAACCAGGCGAGAAAGGCATGGCTTATATCAGCCGCTGTCGCGAACTGCGCGACAAGCTTCTTCGATGCGGCGGGTCGATTTCAGAAGACGCCTTTGTCACGGTGGTCATCGGCGGTCTCAGCCCCCACTGCGCTCCACTCGCGCCATATTACGAGCACACGGGAGGATTTCCGAAGCGGCACTCTGCGCCGAAATTCATGTTGAGCAGCAAGAAATGGACCTGCAAGAAGAAAGACACAAGAAGAAAGCATTAGCACCAGAGTTCGCGTTTCACACTCAGCGACGATACAACGGCAACAACAACCGTCAACAACAAGTAAAGACAGTACCTCCGTTCTGCCACATCTGCAAGACTTCGGGCCATCCTCGCACGCACTGCCCGTCTCGTCAGACAACACCACAGCGACAACTCCGGCCTTCAAGCTCCCAAGTTGCTTTAACGCAAGCAAGTCCGACGACCACAATCCAAGCTTCAACGACTTCAACTGGACAACCTGCACAAGGAACAAGAAGCATCGTCAATTGCATGGTGAAGATAATCGATTCGTGCACAACCAAGTCACCACCCCACTACTCACCGGAAGAAGAGCTCGACAACAGGACGCCTTGCCGTGAATCACTCCAGCCGAATCCGACGTACGCCGCCATTGCTCAAAGCGAACCATCCGGCCAAGACACTTGGTTCTTGGATAGTTGCTGCGGACAACACATGTGCTCCTCCGGGCGCTTCGTTCAACGCGAACATCGACTCCAGCGAGAAGTAGTCATCACGGTCGCCAACAATCTAAACCTGCGCACACGACGACAAGGAGCGGTACAGCTTCAGTCACGAGAAACAAATGTCATATTACACATGTCAAAGGTACTTATCGCGGAGGGACTAGGCTACAACTTACTGAGCATCAGCCAGTTGATGGCGAAAGGCATCCACTTGGAAGCCGACAGCACCACCCAGGAGTTTAAGTTATACCACGGGAAGGGCGGCCTCTACATCGGAAAAGCAGTGTTGAAGAATAACGTCTTCGTCCTCGATTTCGTCCCCGACCTGGGCACTGCAGACAGCGACGCCATCGTCAACTTCACCGACTGGACTCATCCTCCGGATCTCGATCCCAACTTCAGCCCAGGAGGTTTCTGGTACTCGCACACCATCCCTGAAGCAAAACGAACACGAGCATTAGCAACGATTCAACAAACGACAGCAGTAGAGACAACATCGACAGCAGCAGAGACAACATCGACAGCAGCAGAGACAACATTAGCAGCAGCAGAGACAACATCGGCAGCAGCAGAACCATCATCGGAAGCAGCAGGACCAACGACACCAGTCATCGAAACACCACCAACACCCGCACAACAGCTGAACCCGACTCAGCGAGAAGTCCACCGAAGCGCAAACATCGTCGCCAACTTCTACTCCAACTCTGACGCGTATCAACGCTCACCCGGACATCGCGCTCCTGAAGACATCTGGCACGCACGCACAGGACATCCAAGCAATACGGTGTTAAACAACACGATACGAGCAGGAGTTCTAGACAAGGATTCGCTACTACTACTCGACGGCAGAGAACTTCAACGTGCACGAGGGACTTGCCTCATCTGCCCCGAAGCCGACTTACCCCATCGACCGTTTTCCTCTCACCACAACCCGAGCGCACCTGCATACGCACCACTCGAGAAAGTTTACAGTGAGATCCTCTACAATCGAGAACCAGGACAAGTCACCTACAATTACACGATCACCTTCATCGACGCCGCCATTCGATACGTCTGGCATCGCAACCTACCCAGCCGCGACATGGCACTCGCAGCATTCGCCGCTTGGCTACCCGTAGCAGAGAGGGAATCAGGAACACAACTGAAAAGCTTCCAGTCAGACGGAGGAGGAGAGTACACCTCTCAGCGCTTCAAGCAGTACCTGGCGGAAAGAGGGATCAAGCAACTCCTCTCCCTTCCCTACGCACATCAGCAGCAAGGTGTAGCAGAAAGAATGAACAGGACTCTGCAGAACGGCATGCGCAAACTGCTACGTGGCATGCGGCTACCCAACCACCAGTGGCCTGCAGCAATGGACCATGCTGTCATGCTGCACAACTTGTTGTCGTCGTCGTCACTCCCGAAAAACGCCTCACCGCATCTGCTGTGGACAGGGAAGTTGGGCAGCACAAGAATGTTACGAGTTTTCGGATGCATGGTACAGTACAGACCCCCAGAAGCACGAGCGGGAAGATTTTCACAACGGGCACAGTGGGGACTACACCTCGGCATCGAGAAACATTACAACGCGTGGAAAATCTTCGACGTCCACACAAAGGAAACAGTAGCAGCACGTGATGTAATCTTCTACGAGCGACTCGCCCTTCAGACGTACCTCGCCAACTTGCACGAGAATCGGGACCTCACAGGTGGCTTTCGTGGTGACCGAGCCTTCGCCTCAGCAGCGAACGAAGCAGACTGGGATGAACAGATTGTCGACAACGCATCAGAAGAAGCCGGACCTCTCCCGTACTGCTCCGTCGACGTGCCCATGGACGAAGAAAATCCTCGCGACAGTAACAACGCCGAAGTCTTCTATCACTTCGCCGACAACAGTTACGTAACACCTGTGATAGTCAACACAAATGAAGCAGAAAGGATAGGGCCAAATTTCATACCCCATCCAGAAGCAGGAGACGAAGCAGCTTATCCCGAGGATACAACACTCCCCCGATACTCACAGACTGGGCTGCAAATCCTTGGTCTCGTCACCGCAGTCCACGTGAACACAGGCAGCACGCTTCCTAAAGAGCCTGCGACGGTTCAGCAGGCTTTGGGGGG